AATTCTCATTTGTTCTCAAAGGCTAGGTTTTTCTGCATTTTGCTCCCTTACTTTCTTGTCCATGAATGGCCTTTCTTCCTGTTTCTTTTCTCTCTTATCCCTGTACCTCAGTTTTCTAACAGGAATGATCTGCTGAGTCCTTTAAAGGTGTACAGAACTTGTCCAAGTTATGTCAAGAACTTGTGACTCAGGCACCCGAACCTTCTCTGTCTGGATGCCTTTCCATACCAAACCTCAGAGCAGACGTGAAACAGACGTCTTCCTCAGTCATTAAGATTCAAAATGTAAATAGGAAGTCTTACTGGTACAAGAAGGTTAGCCTACCCTGTTGCATATGGTGTCTTGGGTAAAGCTGCCCCATGCAGCTGATAGCACAGATACTAGTATCCAGTGGGGACTGATCAGAGAGGAGGCTGAGGCTCCGAGCAGCTCAGTGGCCCAGGGCCAGAGGCTGAGCCACAACTAGGATTCGGGAGGCCTGACAACTGATTCAGTCATTTCTTTTCCCCTCCAACTTGTTTTCCCTCTTCCCAAGAAGAGAAAGTTCTGTCTGGGTGAAGGTGAGGGAAGCTAATAGATAAAACTTTCCTCTTTATCTGCGATTATATGAAGTGGTATGGCTTCTCCTGAGGCTAATTCCTCCATCCTCTCCTGGGATGACGGCCTCTCACACCACACAGTTCAGCCTCTCCCCTTCCATGTGCTCCTCCCACTCAGCAATCATGGAAGCCACATTTCATTTAGAACATGTTCGAGTCTCTCTCCTAAAGAGACCTCCCTGTCACCCCAACATCTCTTCCAAGGACCGTCCCTCATTATTGTCATCAGCAAACTGGGAAGCTCGCTCCAGTTCCTGGCATTTCCCCAACTCCTGCACCAGCTGCTGCCAGGCTTCTGCCCCACACAGACACTGAAACACATTGGTCCTGACGTTCTCCTTGTCCCTAATCCAGAAGGAAAATGATCACTGATCACTCAATTTTATTTTCCAGTAGCCTTTGATGTGAATAGCTAGGAATTTAGCAATAACAATCTTTACATACCATCTGTGTAATTTATGATAAGGCACTGAATGAGTGCCATTAATATTGTTGGTACCACCAACTTGAAGTAATTACCCTTGCAAATAAGTATTTAGTTATACCTAGTTTCTTTAAACCAATTTAAGTTCTGTTATGCTTTGAATAACATGTGATAAAATCATGCAAACTTTTGAAATGATTCTTCAAAACTTTGTATGCTATTAACTTTGAAGTTTTGGGATTCAAAGCCCCATTTGCTAATAAAAACCTTCTCTTGACTATTATTTTCTTAAAAGTGTCTCTTCCTTGGGACTCAGATCGCTCACTCTCCTGACTGTTTCTCTCTTTCTGTCAGGCCGTTGCTCCATTTGTGTGTCCCTGCCCTTTGCTACTGGGGATCCTTGGGGCTCTGTTCTGGTTCTTGTATTTTTTCATCAACATATCCTACCTGGATATTATCATCCATTTCCATGGCATCTACTCTCCCAATAAACTAATAAACCTCTAATCTGTATAATAGGCTAGATCTTGGTACACTGGGGTTGTTAAGATTTTAACTTTAACCCCAGTAAGAAATCTTATACATTTCATGAGTCAGGTCACAATGTAACACTGTAACCACATTTTCACAATGTAACTTTTACACATTGACCCTGGATCCTCATAATCAAGGCTAGAGATGATCATGATAGAGATAGTGATAAAGAAAAGAATGCTAGTTAAGATACAAAACTAATGCTCTAACAGTGAGATCTAAAAATACAATGGCTTACAAACAACAACAAATGTTGGTGAGGATGTAGAGAAAGGGGAAGCCTCCTACACTGCTGGTGGGAATGTAAATTAGTTCAACCATTGTGGAAAGCAGTATGGAGGTTCCTCAAAAAACTAAAAATAGAAATACCATTTGACCCAGGAATTCCACTCCTAGGAATTTACCCTAAGAATGCAGGAGCCCAGTTTGAAAAAGACATATGCACCCCTATGTTTATCGCAGCACTATTTACAATAGCCAAGAAATGGAAACAACCTAAGTGTCCATCAGTAGATGAATGGATAAAGAGATATGGTACATATACACAATGGAATACTATTCAGCCTTAAGAAGAAAACAAATCCTACCATTTGCAACAACATGGATGGGGCTAGAGGGTATTATGCTCAGTGAAATAAGCCAGGTGGAGAAAGACAAGTATCAAATGACTTCACTCATCTGTGGAGTATAAGAACAAAGAAAAAACTGAAGAAACAAAACAGCAGCAGACTTACAGAACCCAAGAATGGACTAACAGTTACCAAAGGGAAAGGGATTGGGGAAGATGGGTGGGAAGGGAGGGATAAGAGGATTCAGAGGCATTATGATTAACACACATAAAGTAGGGGGTCACGGGGAAGGCAGTATAGCACAGAGAAGACAAGTAATGACTATAGCATCTTACTGTGCTGATGGACAGTGACTGTAAAGGGGTATGTGGGGGAGATTTGATAATGGGGGAAATCTAGTAACCACAATGTTGTTCATGTAATTGTACATTAATGATAGCAAAATAAAAAATAAAAAATAAAAAGACATATATATATAAAAAATACAATGACTCAAATTAGAGAAAGTATTTTTCTCTTGAAAGTCCAGGCAAAAGTGGCCTTGGATGATATGGGGACTTAGACTGCATCTTGCTTGTTGTTCGACTTCCTTGGCACATGGCTTCCATCCTGCAGTTTCCAATAAAAGCTCTGACCACAGTCATCATGCCCACATCCCAGGCAGTGGTAAGGAAGAAAGGGGTAGCAGGGGCCTAACCCTTCTGTCCTAAGGCAGGGCCTAAACTTGTATCCACCACTTCAGCTCACTCTCCAGTCCCCAGAACTTAGTAGCACACCAGCCTCAAGGGAGAAAGCTAGGAAATAAAAGCTCTTAGCTGGGCACTTTGTTAGAACTCAGGAGTTCCCTTATTAAAGACAGAGTTGGAGAAGGGGTGATAGGACACAGCCAGCAGTTTCTGCTGTGTATGAGGGAAATGCATTATGCTGTGTATGTATTTCTGAAATCAGTATTTCCACTTACTCTGTTTATATGCTATATTTTCTGTTTTATTATACTCTATTTCATTTTTTAAAGTCACCAAGATCACATGATATCATAAGTCACTGTGGAAGGTGACCCATGATTTGGAAAACATTGCTGTAAGGCTGCTCTGTCAAAAACGGCCACCAGGAGCCACACCAGCTATCGAGCCCTTGAAATGGGGCTAGTCTAAATTGACATATGCTGTAAATGTAGAAGCCACACCAGATTTAAAAGTTAATATGAAAAAATGGATGTAAAGTATCTCATTAACAATTTTTATACAGCTTAAATGTCAAATGATAATATTTTGGATACACTGAGTTAAGTAGAATATGTCATGAAAATTAATTTAATCTGTTACTTTTGTTATTTAATGTGGCTACTAGAATATGTTAAATTATATAGGAGGCTCACATATTTCTATTAGACCACATTGCTCTAAGCTCTAGAAGCAAATGCAAAACTCATGAATATAAACACTTGAATATCCCACAAGCACTTTCTAAAATCAGACTGTCTTCCCAACCCTCCCCCATTCTGTCCTCCTTGGCTTCCCATCCCGTGATTCCTGTTTCACTCAGTTAAAGGCAACTCAGTGACCAGCCAGAAAAATGGAAAGGCATCTTCTCTTTTATCCATCATTTTCATATATTCACTGTACACTTTAATATCACCTCTTAAAATTATATAAATCAGTCAACCTCTTCCCAGTCTCTTTATAAATACCCTCATTCAAAATACCATCATCTCTCCCCTGTGTAATTGTACCAACTCCGAAATGGTCTCCTGTCTCCTGAATTGCCTCCTTCCTGTCAATCTTCCAAATTGCAGTAAGAGGGATCTTTCCTAGAAACAAATCCCGACAAGCACTCCTTTCATTACTCCCCAAACACCTTCGTAGTGCTAGCAAATTCCTTTTCCATTTGAAGCCAGTGTGTTTCACCGCTTTTCTAAAGGCATAGGCATTTTCTCCTGACCAACACTTTTTATTCCCCTGAATGCGTCATGATTGTTCTCACCTCCAGGGCTTTTGTATAAGCGTCATTCCTTGTGTGCTTAGAATACACTCTGCATCTCCTTTCCTCCGGCTAACCACGACTCATACTTCAGAGCTTAATTCACATTTTATTTTCCCTTAGATTTCCTTTCCAAGGCCGAAGTCTGGATTATGTGTCCCCTCTTATGTGCTCCTAGAGCATCCTGAACTGTTACTAATGTTTGGCTCCTGCATTTTTATTGTGTATGTATTTGTCTGCTTTCACGCCCACAAGAATATAAGACCTTTCAGTGCACATACGTTTCTACATATTTGGACATTCTAACTCCGTAATTTTGCCTGCTAGGCTCAACAAATAAAACAATCGAATAGTTGGACAAATGGATGGATGGTTGAATAGCAGGGATAGTTTATATAATTAAAAACTGGTGAGGAGACATTTTGAAGGGGGCATATTTAGAAGACAGTACAAAACGCGTGTGTGGAGACGGTAAAGGTAGTTGGGATCTTAGTCACACAAGTCAAAGCTTGTTTCTGAAGTTCTGCTATTTGTCCTTTCATCTTTTTACTTTTGAATACAGGAAAAATTTTCCCTTACCATTCTTGCAGGGCCTGGCATTTCATCTTCCATCCAGTAATATCCCTAAGGACAAAAGCCTATTAGCTTAATCCAATATCATTTCCACAGTGTGCTGCTGAGTTCTGAAACCGCGTCAACATTTAAGGCAGGCATAGCTAATGGGGGATTTGCAGGCGTACTGACCCGTAGTGCAAAATGTTTTTTGAGCCTGTCCAGTGTTGCTTAAATTGTAGCTTCCTTTGCCAACCATTCACGCAAGAGATGTGAGGAAAGCCATAAAAGGCACGGTGGGGAAGTGGAAGAAGGGAGTGAAGGAGTGGAAAAGCCGATTAGCTGTTTTACTGTAAATCCCAGAGAAAGTGAGCACTAACGGGAAGGTGGATTTTATCCCTCTGGGAATTCGCCTCGGACCGCCAGCAGTTAACCTTAACTGTAATTAGGCTCTCGTGAGCGATGACCCCTTCACAGCGCCAGAGACCTTTACTTTGTTTAGGCACCTTGTGTGGGTGGAACTTCCTGTTTGCACAGAGAGCAGCATAAAGCCTGGTCGCTCTGAGGACCGTTTGGGGCCAGACCAGCTGCAGGGAGTAGGGCGCAGTCCCGTCTGGTCTCCCCGGCGCCTTCTCTCTGCAACATGGGGAAGAGCAAACTCCTTCCTCCAAGTCTGATTCTCCTCCTTCTGGGCTTCCTGCCTGCAGATGCCTCAGTCTCTGGAAAACCGTGAGTTTCACACAGAGCGTAAACTTAGAGTCCTTTCCTTTATTTCAGATTCTCCTTTATTCGACTGCTTTGTCTTTCCTATGAAACTGTCACCGTCTTGTCTCTAAGGTCTCTTCTAATGATCAGATTTCATAAATTTAGTTTATTTATTCTTAGCCTTTTTCCCCCAAAACTCTGGATCTCTGAATCTCTCAATTCTCTGGGGGTATACAAAGACTTCTTAAGGGATTTGGGAACTGATACTCTTAAAGGAATCAATTTGCAGAGCCCCGCATGCATACTGATAACGCTGGAGACAACGCTATCAATCCTTTCTTGTCCCCCTTTTCTTAATTTAAGCCCACTCTCCACTTTATAAGAGAAAGAAAAGTATCTCCCTCAATCAGATGTTACCAAGGACACTGTCCTGGTGTGGGGGTGCGGGGAATACAGCTCTCTGGGGTGCCAAATAAAGGAATAATTGGGAATACTTCTGTTGATGTTGAACAAAGGCCTCTTGATGGGGGAGAAAATCCTTTTGCAGATCCTGTGGTGACAAATTCTGTTTCAAAAAAATTGACGGAAGAGCTGCAGGAAATACCTACTGATAGATAATTAGCAGCTAGTCTTGACAATAGGGCACTGGATGGTTTTTGGAATGCAGTGCAGAAAGGATTTCAAGAACTGGAAATGATATAATTGTTTTTATCTGTCATTTATTTACTTTCATGTGAATAATTTTTCACAGCACTGATGTCCACACAAACCAAAAACAGCAACAGAATTAATGTTAGAATTAATTCTTCAAAATACCAGCAAAATTAATTTTTGTTTAATTTTGAAATAAGGGATATCCATGCATGAAAACAAAAACAGCTCATCATTCTCATTAAAGATGTGCTTCAAACGTACTTTGGTTTTATATCTAATATGTCTGAATCATAATTTTGTAAATTATTTGTTTTGTTTTGATCAGTTGTATACCAGAAAGAATTTTAATAATAACTCAATCCAGAAGAAAATGTTTAACATTTACAACTTTATGGTCAATTAAATTTAAAAGAAGAGTTGAAGTTAAATTTATGTACCCACATGTAATATTGCACATTTATGTGTGTATATATACTTGTTATTAAAGAAGCAAGAGTGATCCATTTGAAGCATAAAAATCTTAGGATAAACTTTTGTGTGGTGTCAGGGAAATTCAAGTTTAAGAAGGAAAAAGGGAAAAATGTTAAGTTTCTGATCATCACAAAAAGAACATTTTGCTGCATTTTTTTAAATAGGTCGTGTTGGGTACCTTATCAGTATGATATTTAGGGTTCCATGGGAAATGTAAAAAGAGTAATCAAAGTTTTAACTTAAAATAACATCAAAAATAATACCTTTTGCTCTTTTTAAACCATATGACCAAAAAAAAAAAGATTTTCCTGAAAATATGTGAGAAATGCAGTGTCTAAAAATCAGGGATTCTATAAGCAAAAATGTTTGAAAACTACAGGCTCAAAGAAATTATGTAGGAGGGTATTGGGAAAGTTTCTGTTCTGGTGACTTCCCAACCTCCAAAATCCAATCATTAGACCATTTGAGGGTGGAACCGTGTCTGTCAAAGAGTGAAAGGCAAACATTTAAAATGCAAGCAGCAGCCAGGGTGAGGTAACACAGTAAGATTGCGTTAGTGTCTTACCACAGCTGACACTTTAAACTGATGACTCACATTCACTGAGCCTCAGATTCTGCATCTATAAGTGGAAGCAAGTACTTGCCATACCATTTTCACATAGTTGTGGAATATATATATATATATACGCACATGCATATACATATTATATATTCAATATGTGTATTTAATGAAAATTCTGTAAATTGGTCTTTGTAGTGTCTCCCTTGAAAGCTTTCTTGCTTTTTTTGCAGCAATCCTAATATAAATTAGATGTACGTGACTAAATACAATTAGCCTATTTTTTATTTAAGTTTAGATGCTCACATATTTGGGTTCGTTAAAATGAGGTATACCTGCAAATGTTAATCCATTTAAGGTTCACTTCAAGTAAAGTGTTCCCTGCCATGGTGCTGATATTGGAAAGGGGAGTGATTTCCATGCACACCATGCAAAAGCAGAAATCATGATTATCAGTTTGCCTTGTCTTGTTATAGAATTAATGATAGTAACAATAATTGTGAAGGAAAAAAAGTGCTGTTGACAAGTGTATCTCCCCTTACACTGTCCTAACTGGACTCCCGCTTCCCAGGCAGTATATGGTGCTGGTCCCCTCCCTGCTCCACACGGGGACCCCTGAGAAGGGCTGCCTGGTTCTGAGCCACCTGAATGAGACAGTGACTGTAAGTGCTTCCCTGGAGTCTGTCAGGGAGAACAGGAGCCTCTTCACCGACCTGGTGGCAGAAAAGGACTTATTCCACTGCGTCTCCTTCACTGTGAGTATGGCTGCTTAACATGCTATATTTGCTTCTACTTGTCAGGGTCATAGCTATCTGCAGGTCAGTCAAATTAAGGCTTTGAGAGCCTGGCAAGTACTTCAGGAAGGAATCTAAATGTAGCAACTAAGGTAGAAATGAAGAAACGATGCAGCAATTTCCAACCAGGAGAGACAAATATTTATAGGCAAATGAAAACTCAACTTAATAATCAAAGAATATTCCTATTAGCCAGAAAAAAAGCAGCATGCACTAGACAAAGGGAAAATGGGACTTTTCCTTAAAATTAATGTGGGAAAAATATTAATGAGCATTTGAGTCCAACGCACAACATAAGCTCCAGAGGTGGACTGACTGAACACGTCACCCAACCCACACTGAGGGTGAAAATATCATAGATGCTACCTACCATAAGCAAAAATCCAGTATCTCTTCAGAGCTGCCCATATGGAAAATGCTTACAGGCTGCAGCCGTAAAGTAGTATAGTTTTTCCTGCTCACAGCCTGAAGATATGTTCTACCATGCCCTTTTAGCACGTAACACCCACTTGTGGAGTTCAGCATGTAATTGAATCAAGGCTGAACTGGCTGATCTGTTAAAGATGTGGGTCTCTTTTAGGACCTCCCTTCCTGATGTATTTCCCTCCATCTTGTGTTCTGTCTCCCTGCTTGTAAAATGACAGATGTAGTTCCTGTCCATGCCAACTTTCTCTGGTGACAATGGGAGAGTGACGTTAAAAGGGGCAAGATCTCCAGGGAGCAGTGGAACAGGGGGTGGGGGGATGAAACTTGGGAGACTGAACCGGTTCTCAGGATCTCTGCTATGTTCCAGATCCCAAGATCTTCATCCAATGAGGAGGTCATGTTCCTTACTGTCCAAGTGAAAGGACCAACCCAAGAATTCAAGAGGCGGACCACAGTGGTGGTTAAAAACACAGACAACCTAGTCTTTGTCCAGACAGACAAATCTACCTACAAACCAAGGCAGAAAGGTATGAAGAGGTCTACAGTCAGGACAACTTCCCAAAGGAAAGATCTGGCTCCCATGATTATTTCCAGTCAAAGGGCCCATAATCCTGGTTCCTTAATAGTTTGTTTTACGAGCTCTTAGGCCCAGTTAAAGGTTTCTGGGACTCATGGAAAACATTTCTGTTTCAGTGAATTTTCGTATTTTCTTGGTGGATGAAAATTTTCACCCCCTGAATGAGAGGGTAAGTCACCCCATGTTTATATAGACTTCATTACCTATAGGAACAGGCTGGGAGCCTGCATCTGGTGTTGTGGGGAAGACCAGGGAGAGATCTAGTGTCACTAAGAGTGATCTCTGGCATTGCAATAGCACAAGATCCTAATTTAACATAGTATCCCACTTCAGGAGAGTGGTTGATTCTTTCGATCTTGGTACTGTTACTTGGTTAATTGTCACATTATTAAACTTCTTTTTAGAAAATTCTCTACTAAGCAAATTGGAAAGATACATTAAGTAGACACACCTAAACCATCAAATAACTTAAATTCAAATCACTTCTCAATGATTTAGAATCTTTCTAAACACACCTACCAAAATCTCTTTCACAAATAATGTAAAAATATGTTTCTTCTTCAAAACTAGCACTTGATATTAATGAAGAGAAACAACATTCGAGTTTAATGCAGACTTCACACCAACGTCTTAATTTTTCTCTCCCAAATCTATTCCTCTACCACATTTTCTTATCTCAAAAAGAAGGAATTTTTTCCTTCTAGCTCTAAGGGAAAAGTTTAAGGCATACTCTTTGGTACTCTTTCATCCCCACAACCGCTTCGTCAAGAAATTAAATTAGAGTAAAATACATCCAGACTATTTCTTATTACCTGAAATGTTACAGCCTTATCCTGGCCAATATCATCTCTAAATAAGACTATTGCAACAGCCTTGAACTGCTGTCCTAGTTTCTATTTTCACTCCTCTAACCAAAATCAAACACCTCATCCATCACTCTATCAATTCAACCTTGTTTTATTTCTAATTCTTGACACTTAGCACTACCTGATATATGTGTATATATGTGATATATACATATATAATATATAAATACATATTTATTTGTATGAAATATATATTTTTATGAGATTTTTATATTTGAGATATATATGTAACATACCGTAAGTATATAAATATCAACTATCAATGCTAAATCAACATCAAATTATAACTATCAATATAAAAAATATCAAATATGTATATCTCAAATATATATGTATATTATACATATGTGTGTGTATTTCTTACAGATCCATCCCTATTAGAATGTAAACTCCATGAGACCAGATATATTGTTCTTTTGTGTGTTGCTATATGCCCTAGAATATAAAAGTTTATACAACCTGCTTTATAACCTAGAATGATAGTTTTTAGAAATGAATAAACATTGATAGTAAGGAGCTATTCTCATTTCTGCTTATTTTTAGAATTACCTAAGAATTCCAAGACCCATATCAATACTTGGATCTGAACATGGTCCCTTACAGTTATGTTAGTGTTTTTTCTCAACCTGTAAAATTTCATAGCAAAGGAATGTTTTTCACTGGGATGCTATAAGCATTTCAGTAATGCTGGTAAATCCCATTCCAAATGATGGCAGTGCACATGTTTGTCGCTAACAGCCTAGTAAGTTCCTATTATTATTTATTAATTGTTTACAGTGGACTAATTCAAAGTTTCATGAAATTGAACTGAAGTTTTTCTGTTTCACTACTAATAGGTTTATTCCAGCTAATGCTGTCTTGCTTATAAATCAGAATTGGGAATATTTGAGAACAGTGCTAAATTTTTCTTTTTCTTTTGTCTTTCAGATTCCACTAGCATACATTCAGGTGAGCAGAATGAAACATTCCCTAATCAGAAGTCAAGTAATAAATTTAGAAAAAATGTTCTTATCTGAGAGGTTCTTAACAATAGCCCAGAAACTTGTCATTAAGAGAGAAACCTTCAATGCATATAGTGCTAGATGGTTCTAAATCATCTCCCCTTCCTCTCCCTCCCCACTATCCCATCTGCCTTCTTTGTGGAGGACACAGGAATTTCCGTAGATTTCATTCATTGTCTCAATGCTCCAGGCTCTTTTGTAAGTTACAATCACTGTCTTCTTAGGACCCCAAAGGAAATCGCATCGCACAATGGCAGAATCTCCAGTTGGAGAGTGGCCTCAAGCAATTGGCCTTTCCGCTCTCGTCAGACCCCATACAGGGCTCCTACAAGGTGGTGGTTCAGAAGGAATCAGGTGGAAAAGCACAGCACCCTTTCACCGTGGAAGAATTTGGTATGGTTTACACAAAAACGTGGAACATTTTTCTTCATTATCTAAACTTCTGAGACCTAGGATATGAGTTTATTGGGAGTTTTTCCATTGGGCTTGGAGTAGAATCAATGGTATCTAACTCCAGGGAAGACCATGGGTGGTCTGTGAATATGACTTCATATAGTTTGGTTATTTTTGTAGCAATTTTTAATCTCAAAAAAATAGTAAAACATCCTTGTTTAGAAGGCTTCCATTATTCATTAAGGTTACAGTGATCTGTCATAGTCCTTCATTCAGAACGTCTATTTAACAGTAAGGTGAGTATATTGGAGAATACAAGTATCTTTTCAGAGCCCTAAAATATTACTAGGGAATTGTTACAGAGAACCTAAAAATACTAATTTGCCAAAAGTTGAAAACCCACCTTCCTTTATCTCCAATGACAGTGCTTCCCAAGTTTGAAGTGCAAGTAACAATGCCAAGGATTATCACTATCTTGGAAGAAGAGGTGAATGTGACAGTATGCGGCCTGTGAGTTTATATTTTTTAAATTCTTTTTAGCTGAATTATTTAAAGGAGACTCACTATTTGGGATATTTTGATTAGTTTCTCTAGAGAGGTGGCAGCACAAATACCTTAAGTACATAGGAGCATCACCATTTCTAGAACTTTCCTCTCCTGTTGTTTTTCTATTTTTCCTTCTAATTTTCTTTCATGTCCTTACCAGCATTATTACTACCATGGGGCAGGCAACTGTTCCTAGAGAAACTACTCTACTAGAATTGATTCTGAGTGTGACACAAACACCCAGGATAGTATTAACAGGTAGTGACTTTCCTTTCCCCAGACTGCAGAGAAAAATTCAGTCTTCAGCGTTATCATTTGCCTGACTTTGTTTGCTTAAATAGTGGAAAAATAGATTAGACTCCGAATTTGTAGAGATAGGCATATTACTGAAATCTCATCTAACTCATTGGTTTACCTTTTTTTGCCATTTTTAGTGATGAGACTGGACATGCTTTCTTAGTATGGTCCTTTCCAACACTGAAAATTCGTATTTCCAGGGTCCTTTTCTCCCATCTCCAGTGGTCCAGGAATATATAGCACTAGCAGGAAAAGCACACAGAGTGGAGAAACCAGTGCTGCCTAAAGACCACTTATGTGCTGCACCTACTATTCAGCTGGGCCCCTGCCCCAGCAATGTCTCAGATCAATGGCCATCAAGTTCCTGATCCCACATAACTAGAGAGCCAGTACTCTTACAAATAGAGATATAGAGGATATTTTTAATAGGGAAGGAAACAGATGCCCTCAAAAGCACATCAATTATCAATGACATATTTATGGCACGACCCATTTTTGAGAAAAGTATAAACAAATATAACTCTATATAGAAATGTCTACACAGAGGAAGAGGGTGGTGGAAGGAGAGATACTATCTCATTAATAGTTTGTATTCCTAAGTAGAATTGAGGGTGTTTTCTTCTTCTTTTTGTTTTGTTTTGTTTGTATTGGGCTTTTTTTTTTTTTTTTGCTATTAAATACAGGTGTAGCTTTGTAAGAAAGATTTTTTAAAAGATGAGGTTGGAAATAAAAAATTAAGGAAGAAAGACATGATAAAAGAAGACTGAAGTAAATTTCAGCATGTTGCACTGGAGATTTTTTAAAAGAGACGGGTCATTGCTTAGTTTACTTGCCCTGCACCCAGTGTAAGCCCAGAGATTAGAGGGAAGTACAGAGAATAAATATACTATGCTAAAGCGGAACTATAAATAGGTAGAAAATGGGGATGTTCAATGCCTGCTTTGATTTATTTGGCAATGTTCTTACAACAGATACACATACGGGAAGCAGGTCCCAGGACACGTGACTATGAGGGTGTGCAGAAAGTTCAGTAACCCTTCTAACTGTTACGCTGGAGAGTCACAGGCTGTCTGTGAGAAATTCAGCCATCAGGTAGGTGGAAAACTATTCCGTCTAGGGACTAACAATGGAGGCACTGTTGATAATCAGTGGTGCCAGCTCAGGAAGAGAGCAATGTGTAAGAGAAATCTATGCTAGCTATAAGAGTTCTTAAAATGTCAGTGATTCTGCACAGTAAGAATTGTTTACTTCTTGGAATTGTCCATTGCGGGTGTTCTTGGTTCACCAAGTACCCAGAATGGTGGAAGCTGAGCCGTCTCCTAACAGCTGGCATCCAAAGCCTCCTTGGGCATCCACTTGTATGAAGGAATGAGAAAAACATACACCTCTTAACCACCGTGGCTGGGAAGGGTATTGGGTTTGCTCTATGAGCAAGAACTTGTCGCATGGCCCCACCTAGATGCCATGGAGGTAAGGGAACAGTCCCTGCATGGGTGGCCACTTCCCAGCCACAGCTATATACTCTAGGAGGGGAGCCAGGTTTTGGTGAATCATTAGCTGCCTGCTACAGTAAGATTACTCCCAAAATTTTTAAGCATTTCTATCTCTTTCACGCTAGGGAATATCAGATACTAAGGAATACACCTGCCAATTGTAAACCAGCACTGAGAAATGCAATAATGATTAATCCTTAGGGAATATTTACTGTGTTCTTACAGACAATCCCTAGGCTGTATTGTCCCCTCCAAATTAACTGGCCACTGACCCGTCCCATGGTGTGTATCTTATTTTATCTCCATCTAGCTCAACAGCCAGGGCTGCTTCTCTCAGCAAGTAAACACCAAGATCTTCCAGATGAAGAGACAAGGGTATGAAATGAGACTTGAAGTGGAGGCCAAGATCCAAGAAAACGGGACAGGTTTGTGAACCACCTGGCGATGGGAGAAAAACAACAGGCATTGATGTATTTATTTATTTATCTCAAATTACAAATTGACAGGGAGGAAGTAGTATAAGAAGTTCAGGGAGATCATCCTTCCAAGAACTTACGTTTTCCTCCTTCTTTTACAGAGGTGGAATTAACAGGCAATGGGGCCAGTGAAATAACAAGGACCATAACCAAACTCTCATTTGTGAAAGTGGATCCATACTTTAGACATGGGATCCCCTTCTTTGGGCAGGTGGAGTATTTTTCAATTCACACATCAGACCTAAGAAGCACGACATATTCTGCTTAAACCACACCTGGTTAATGTTAGCTGTTGATTAACAGAACCAAAGGTATAAAACCACATAAAAATGAATCTGTTCTGTAAATATGAAATATGAAACCTCTAAAATCATTTTAAAGCACTATCAAAATGAGAAGGTTGTTTTTCTCACATTTGGAACAGCATGGTGTGATGTCAATCTCCTTTTCATAGTTTACCAGGAAGTCTCAGATTCTTATGATATTTTGGCACAAGAATCTCAAAATTCATGTCTAACACTAACTTTGGGTAGAAATGAGTGGGTAGGTGGCTGTAATTTTCACTATTCAGTATAAAAGATTCTACTGTACCTAGTGTTTCTTTCATGAATATTACATTACCTTTTTCTATAATATAAATATTAAAAACAGTACACGTAAGGGTAAAATACTGCTGTTTAAAGTTCACACATTTTTAAAAATGTATGTTTTCTCACAGATCTACAAGTCTATTGTTATTTTTCTTTTATAAGCAGATATGCAAATGAATCTTTCTGACTCCGGAGTCTGAGGTGACAGTTATGTGCCTCAGTGTGTAATTGCTGTGTAGTATGTTCTTAATGGGAATGTTAGATAATTTCAATTGGGCTACACTCCACAAAGGAGTGGTAGAGTAAATTGTAGAATGTTGTGATGTTATGACAGCGAATATATTCAGAAGGCTTTGCTCACTTCCTAAAATGATAGTCCATGCTTTTTTAATTTCCTAGAATTATATTGTACTTTCTGCTAAATAACTACTCCATGAGTCATAAGAATCTCTCACCAAAAGAGAATTGGAATTCCATGCCTTGCCTTGTCTCGGAACACAGAGCTGGCATTTCAATCTCCCAAAATGTTAAAAATCTAGGTTGAGAAGCAGGTATCATATATAGAACAACTACAGAAGCTCACAGGACAATGTATTAGCAATTGCTCACCTGTGCACTCACTGTACTTCAGAACACTAATCCGTGAAAAGCCAGTGGTCTACCGCAAAATAAGTATTTGGGGTTCAACTAAATTTGGCCAATGGATTAAAAATGTTCATTGTTATATGACTCTTGTACTCTGTGTCTCTCCAAGAGTTATACATAATATCCAGCATTTCCAAAATATTCACCAAGTACATTTTTCTGATCACCCCTATTATGATCTCCATCATTCTCTCTCCCTTTACACTGCTTTATTTTTCTTCTTAGGACTGATCACTACTAATCATTATTTATACTTTTATTTAGCCTCTGTCTCTTGTACTAGACTATAAGCTCTATGATAGAAGGAACTTTGGTTCACAGCCACAGTCTCAGTGCATGGAACCATGCCCAACATATAGGACACACTCAATATATGCTTGTGTTATAATAAGTATGTTTGCTGCCTATTGGATATTCGCCACATAACTGATCCACTGCTTTTTATCTTCAGGTGCGCCTCGTGGATGGGAAAGGGGTCCCCATGCCAAATGAACTCGTCTTCATCACAGCAAATGAAGCGAACTATCACACCAATGCTACCACTGATGAGCACGGCCTGGTGCAGTTCTCCATCAACACCACCAACATTATGGGTACCACCCTCACTGTCAGGGTAAGCTGGGAAGGAAGTTACCAATGACATGAAGTAGCCTTGGGGAAAAGGTTGTAACCTGAAAGTGATAAAAATGTCTAAGTTGTGTTTAGTCCTTTGGAGAGAAAAAAACTAGAAATTAGAAACCAGTTTGAGGTTAGCTTTGAGCAAGTTTACTAGAAGGAGGCAGTGTAGTGTAATAGATAAAAGCATGGTTTCTACTTATACATTATTGGTAGGAAAGTAAAATGGTGTGACTGCTCTGTAAAATAGTATGGCAGTTCCTCAAAAAATTAAAAATAGAACTACCATAGGATCCAGTAACTCCAACTTCTAGGTGGGATTATCCAACAAAAGCAGGGTCCTAAAAGGATATTTGCACACCCATGTTCATAGCAGCATTATTCACAATAGTCAAGAAGTGGAAGCAATCCAAGCATCCGTCAACAGAAGAATGGGCAAACAAACTGGTATATAAAATACACAGTGGAATAAATAGCATTCAGCCTTACAAATGAGGGAAATCCTGCCACATGCCACGACCTGGATGAACCTTAAGGGCAATATGCCAAGTGAAATAAGCCCATCAGACAATACTGGCTGATTCCTCTTAGATGGGGTATCCGAAATAGTCAAAGTCAAAGAAACAGAGGGTAGAATGGTGAGTGCCAGAGGCTGAGAAAGAGGAGAAATGAGGAGTTATTGTTTAATGGTTACAGAGTTTTACTTTTGCAAGATGAAGTTCTGGAGATCTGTTACACATGACTTAACACTACCAAACTCCACACTTGGTTAAGATGGTACTTTTATGCTGTGTGGTAATTTTACAATTAAAAAAAAAAGTGTAGGTTCTAGAATCAGATCAATCCGATTAAAATCCTGGCTTAACTCTATATTAGGAGCAAATTATACTTCATTTCCTTACAATTTATATCCTTATCATTTCCTTTATATTTCACTTCTTTATCTTTTAAATGGGTGCAACAAGGTACTTTGTGGAGTTATTATGAAGATTAAATGAAATAATGCATGTTAAAACACTTAGTAAACACCCTTTAATTGTTAAATATTATTACTATAAAGGCCCACTTTAACATCATTACTTTTTTTCAAATATATACAGTCCATAAACTATTATTCCTATTTTATCTTTGTCCCACTATTCTAATATGCTCCAGATTTTTGTCCATACCCATATAACTAAACTTGCTTAGAATCCTTTATTCATCAGTGGAAATGGAGATGTACATTTATAGGTGTATGGATATACAACAGATATTACATAATAATCATGATGGAAACCCTGCCTCTTATCTTTTTTCATATAAATATAAATGAGATAAATAATATGCTTTAATGATTCAGCTTTAAATAAATGGCATAAAAGCCCATACCTCTAATAACTCAAAATTGAATGTAAACTCTTTTATTCAATCAAGAAATGTCTTGAATGCCTTCTAAGAGCTAGGCAATGTGCTAGTCCTGAAAATGAAAATACTATTTTTAAATGCTCCTGCTTTTTGATGATTTATATGTTATCCCTAGAACATACATTGAGATTCGAACAAACTGTTTTGCTCACACAAGGATTCACTCATGCCCCTTGGGAAGTAAGGATGAGGAAGGGGAAGCTGGAAAGAATATGGGAGAACTTCTACCTGGAGAAAAGTTGAAAAACAACCCAAATAGGGCCTGGGAAGCAGAAGAGTCCAGAACCAGAGGAAGCATTAAAAATAATTAACCTGAGACAGACCAGGATAGGCAGACTTCAGCTGATTCATCAACTCTTGAACCAGTGCTATTTACAGAAGGTGTTTCCAGATCCTTGAAGCTAGAGTATTACATTTATTCATAATACTTATTTGAAACCCATCATAAATGAGGCATTGACTCCCTGAAATGCAATTCTTCAGTTTATGGAGATTATTGAGTTTCCTCACTGAGGTTAATTTAACTGCAGTGTCAAAGAAATGCCCAGCAATCTAATCAAAGGATGTTGCCTTTCATGCTCTTCAGAAATGTAAATACCAACCCAAGCAAAAGATATCTAGGTACTAGTTAGGGCGGTAAACTAATGCAGTTCTGGGAGGGCACTGATTATCTGTGACCTATGGTCTGTAAAGTTATATTGTTTTTCTAATTCATTAGGTCAAACACAAGGATCAGAGTCCCTGTTATGGCTACCAATGGCTGTCAGAAGAAAATGAAGAAGCTTTTCACACTGCTAATCTTGTATTTTCCCTAAGCAAGAGTTTTGTCCATCTTGAGCCCATACCTCATGAACTTCCCTGTGGACAAACTCAGACCGTCCAAGCACATTATATTCTGAATGGACAGGTCCTGCAGGAGCAAAAGGAGCTCGTGTTCTATTACCTGGTGAGAAAGAAGGCCACTGCATTGACTCAAAAGCTATCTGTGGAGCAAGGGACTATGACACACTTAAAACATCACTACTTGGATATATCCATCTTTTGAATGTTTGACTTCTTTCAAGGTTGATTATTGCCATCAGGGGCTCAGTAAAGCTAGCATATCACATGGGGGGTGCAAAACTTGGGGTAAGATCTCTACTGAACAAATTAAATTCCTTTTCATTTCCCTTTTTGCAGTTAATGGCAAAGGGAGGCATTGTCCGATCTGGAACCCATGTGGTGCCTGTGGAACAGGAAGATAGTGAGTATTTCTGTAATTCTGCATTTCTGCCTCCTGACACATTCACCAAAATACCAGGGATAGTTTCAAATAAAGGCAGATTATCTCCATCTAACCCCAAAAATCAGAAGTTGAGAGAGGAAAGCTTTAATGTTCTTTTTTCTACCCTTTATCAAATATTTCTTTTCTTTTCCTTCAGTGTATTCTGTTCATATTATTTAAAACACTGATTTGTTGTTTTGTAATCAGTACTTATTCCAAATGTTCAAACCATAAATATTCATGGGTCTGTGAGTCCTCAAAAAATGGCATTTCAAAATTGTTTTAGACAAAGGAGAACAGGTAAAATTTTGGAATGCCTTCCATATACTAGGTCATGTGTGAGTCATTTATGTCATGTTTCCTTTTTGAAGATAGTTATGGTTTATGAAGAATTAAATTGGGTACTTTCATCTCATTGAATTCGACTCTCCCCATGAACAAATACGGGACAATACAAACCTCTGACAGTTTCTCCTATTTTAAGGGAGTCTGCAGGATCACTTATTGGAAAACTGTCCATGAACTACTCTTGTTGCCTCTTTGAAGCAGCAGAAGCACCAGAGTAGACGTGCACAAGTTTAATGCAATTTCCAAAGAATCCACATAGGCATCAAAAATAACTTTCAAAGGAGCAGGTAACCCTCCTAAGAATAGAATAGAATATTTGGTTCACAGAGAGTTAAAGAGGATATAAGGGTAAATACAATGTGTTAAAACTCTATCACATGTTAGAACTTCAGGTTCTAATTTCCCTTTGCTAGTGTAAAGTCTCGGTCAGATGAAGTCAGGCAGTCCCCATACCCTTAGGGTAGCATCAGGTCTTCCTAAAGGTGAGCTAAAGCTTAAAAGTGGTGAGAAACCATTATATGACCTTTGAGAGAAGAAAGAGCTTTGATAAGGTTTTTTTCTAAAGCTTGAGTTCTTGGAAGTATACAGTTCATAGGGGTAAGTCATCCATTTATCACACCTACTATTTCTTATATCCATTATGCCTTCTAACAGAAAGTCATTAACCAGACCAGGCTCCTCAGGCTCTGTGCGACAAAACACCTCCATTTCAGCCCTGGGGAGACATCTAACTCGTAAATACTTCCCCACTCTCTCTGTGCTCCAGCAAAAGGCCACTTCTCCGTGTCAGTCCCTGTGGAGTCAGACATCGCTCCCCTTGCTCGATTGCTCATCTACGCCATTCTACCTGATGGGGAAGTGGTTGGGGATTCCGCAAAATATGAGGTTGAAAATTGTCTGGACAACAAGGTGGGCATTTTGCATGTTAAAATTTTCAACATTGAAAACTAGAAGTTGCTATCAGTGTTAATTATTTTCTACATGTGAGTCCTGGGGCCAAAGAGGTGAAATTTAAAGAGATTTTTCAGCAAGGTAATGGCAGTTGCACTACAAAGCCACTTGAGCCCCCAGTGCAGAGTTCTCGTGCATTGTCTCTTACCACGTGGTACCGTTCAGCATACCTTACTTCCTTCTACTGCGCGGAAATGTTGGGAAATACACAAGCAAGTTTTTAAGACTAAGGAGTGAAAAGGCAAATTCAAGGGCACCTAGAACTATTTGCATTCCCCCACCCCTCCCTAATGAGCACCTCAATACATAGCAAAGGTTAAAACTGGCATCTCAAATTTAATAACTTATAATAATCAGATATCATTATAATGGCTCAACTGGTTCTTGCGAATCAGAGTGAAGCATAGGGGGAAGAAGCCTCAAGCCTCCATTGGTGCCAGCCACCAGGCCAGGCAAAGTGGTTCGGCATTGCATGCGAGAAATGCTCAGGAAATGCTGGTGCGGGCGTGATTAAACTGGGAAATTTGTTGTCCTGTCCTTTCTCCCCACTTCTACAGGTGGATCTGAGCTTCAGTCCAGAACGCAGCCTCCCCACCTCACCAGCCCACCTGCGTGTCACAGCCTCCCCTGGCTCCCTCTGCGCCCTGCGGGCCGTGGACCAAAGCGTGCTGCTCCTGCGGCCCGAGGCTGAGCTCTCCGCAGCGACGGTGAGTTCAGGGCAGGGAGAAGCGCGTATCTCAGCAGGATAGGATCTATGAAATTTTTATTTATCTAGGACTTAATAGTTCTGAGCTCCTTCGTGTGTACTTTTTCCCCATGCAGAAGAAACGATGCATTACTTGATAAATATGTTTATATATTTACATGCATATATGTGTATATGCATATTCATATGTGTATATTATAAAATCATGTACCATCCAAGTCCCTGAAATCCTAGAGCTCTGTGAAACCAAGAATAGTTTTCTAACTCGTTCTGATGTTTCAGAAAGCCTATTAAAGTGGTACATTTACCTGCACTAAGACTGCACAGGCGAAATGAAATTGCAAATTTCTGTTTTTATAAGTACATTCACTGAAACACTGGATGTCCCAAGATGAACGCAATTTCTAAAGGAAGATGTACATTGTCTCTGGTGAACAGAAATCAGGAAAAGTGAATTACTGTGTGATAAATGATGTCTTTTAAAATATTGGATAATAGAAGAAATAGCAAAAGGGTGTGCCTGAACAGAACAACAAGAAACTACTTAACAACACGTCCTGATAGCAGTTTGTTCATATTTTCATGTTTCCAATGAGAGGCTTCTTGGGATAACCTCTTACCGAAGCTTTTTTTTTAACTAAAATTTTATAAAGGTAAATTTATATTTTTGCTTCCCTAAAAGAGAAGGTTATAAGAAAAGACTTTTTACTTTTTGGTCCTTCCAGTGGAATTTAATTGAAAATATTAGAACACTTCAAGGAAGAATTAAGTACCTTTCAATAGTGGGAGCAAGTAGATAATGTGGATAACATGCATGTTATATGTTTGCATGACAATTTTATAGTGCTCAGAGTTTTAAAAATTTTATCATGTTATATATAATGTATACATTATGTATATTATTTTATGTATGTAATATGTATTTTTTAATTATAACAATGCTGGTGGATAGATAAGGTCGAAAGTCCTACTAATTTGTTAATAATAAAGCAGAAGTTTTCAGGTGTTAAGTAGTAGATCTGGGTTAAAGCACTAGTTCCTCTCAATTCTTGATAGCATTTTCCTAATGAAATACTTTGCCCCTCGTAGCATAAGCCATTCATCCAATACATGTTTATTTTGTGCTGTGTTCTATGTGTGCCTACTGTGTGTTGAAGTGCTGGGTAGTCAAATCCACGCTCTCACAGAGCTGACATTTTCATAGAGGAGTCAGACCATAATTATATAACATGCTTTGAAGAAACTTAAAGCAGAGAGGGGAGGTGGAGAATAGAAGAGGGAGCTGCCTCTGAGAAAGTGTCTAATTTCATGACACCACTCCCTTTCCTGATCTATTCTTGTCAATCCATTTTAAACCCCTATGAATATAGTAAAATACACTTGACAGCATCTTGACATCTGTCTTACTCTTCTCTCTTCAAAATGAATTTGAAAGCATCATTTCCAGTATTTTACTGTTAAAGATTTATGAATTGTATGAAGATTGAGAGCATTTTGTTCCCATGAATAATACCTAAAGAAAATACTCTCCTGTCCTATATAGAGGATATATACTTACTCATGTGACTGCTTAGAACATGTGTCTGTTAACCTTGTTATACACAGAGTCAGTTGCGAACCACAAGGTAGAAGAAAACTGTGATTTTTTTCTAACATCTGGAAGCCTTGTACAATGTCTCAAATACAGCAGACTTAAATTTATCTTATCAAATTTTTATTCCACTCTAGTATGGAGCCTGGGGTTTGCCTCTGAACTGCGTAACAAAGTGTTATGACACTTGAAGACTTTGATGGGAATGTTCTGTTTTTTTCCTAAAATTGTTAAATAGCTTCAAAATCATCTTCTCTATGAATCAGCTAAGCAACAGAGGCACTCAAGGAAAGACTGACGGTGGTTATTTTCTTTTCTCTCTTCACTTAAGAAAAATAAACCACAAGTAAGTTTGTCCTTTTGTCCTCTGCATTTGTACAGGTTTACAACCTGCTACCAGTGAAGGACCTCAGTGGTTTCCCTGCAGCTTTGCATGAGCAGGAGGAAGACGACGAAGACTGTGTCGATCGCCATAACATCTACATCGATGGGATCATGTATTCCCCAATGTCAAACACACAGGAAAAAGATATGTATAGCTTCTTACAGGTAAATTCCTTATATTGTAGATGGCCAGTTAAGGGTCACAAAATATCACATATGGAAAAAATATTTATTTTAATGCCTTTATATCATAGTTGAGGGTAATGGGACATGAAACAGTCAAGTGACTTCTCCAAGGTCACTCATAGCAGCAGATCTGCTAATAGCAACAAAGCCAGGACAAGGACTTTTGGACTAATAATCAAGTTTCTTCTTTTTCCTGAAATTCACTGCCTTGTGATTTATATAAAAATCACATGTTGAAAATAATTACTGTTGAGTTTTAAAAACAATAAAATTACCTCTTTAAGTATACCAGTATCCCTTCTCCAGATGTAAACATTGAAAGTTTAATAGTAAGCTAATTGGATTGTTTGTTAAATCCAATGACATGTGTGCCTATATATGTTTTTTTAAATATTTATATACTGATTAGGTGATAATTTCCTTCACAGGATATGGGCTTAAAGGCATTCACCAACTCAAAGATTCATAAACTCAAAGTATGTTCACATCCTGAACATTATGAAATGCAGACATCTCGAAGACTATTAGCTACTCCAGGTAAAGAAAATTAATAAAAATCAATATATTGCTTAACATACATATATGTTAAATCAAGTAAAAGAATTTTTTAAAGGATAAAACTGACAAAAAAGGCCTTGTGATTCAGATATATTAGGAGTTTTGTTCAAGGTCACATAGCAATACAAACCCCAGAATTATGATTGTGTCCAGCCCCCATATATGCACAGGTGGAGGGAATACAAGGCAGATCATGAAAACTGTATTAAGAGAAAGGATTAATTCTGACTGAGGAATCAGGAAAGTCATTCATAAAGAATCTGCCTCTATAAATGGGAACACGTGGGGTTGAAAATGGAAGAGAAAGTTGCCAGACATAGGATCAGTGGAAACAGAAATTTGCACAAGTCAGGACTATGTTTTCACCAGCCAAGTAAAGAAGCTCTTTAACTTCCCCAAAATATCAGCCAATATTCATGTTGAAATCACCCTCATTTGTCACTGACACGGGCTACTTTATTGGTAAATCAGATTGTAATCATTTATTCATAGTCTTATACTGTTAAATCATGACTGAATATAGTTTGAGTACAAACAAAAAAGTTTGCCCTAAATCAAGTAAAACAGTCAGTGAGAATTAATTGATTATATAGAATTTAAATTAAGATTATTGTGTATTTTATTATTTATAAATTAAATTCTATAATCCTTCTTAGTAAAACTTAGAATAAACTAATATATAGATGCACAATTTTTTGCCCAAAATGCTGCTTGTTAAATATTTACCAGCACACATTAACAGAAGGTAAATGAGGTGAGGATCAAGCTCTGATCCTCTGACATATATGGGAATAAAGAGCCATTTTTATACCTGATCCTTTCCCACCTGTGTACTGTTTCTCAAAGCTACTGTCAGAATGTCTTGGTATGCTTTTTCCTTGCTCCCACGAGGAACACATCAAATGGAAACTTGAACTCCTATCCTCTTCCCAACCCGTGGCCTAGCAATATCCACTTAGCAAACAGTGCAGTAACCCCAGAGGATGCCTTCTGCACCCCAGACATGCCAAGGCTCTTTCTGCCTGTAGGTCTCTGTTCTCTATTTGGGATTCTGTTTCTCAGCTTACTTGTAGCTTATTCTAATACTTCAGAGTTCAGCTGAAATATCATCTCCTCAAAGTTTTCTTTTATAGCACCTGTTACAATTGCTCATAAGCTTTATCTTTATATTTATTGTTTCTGTCTCTTCCCCTCACCCACCACAGACATGGCACAGAACCAAATGCTTGGAAGCAAGGAACTTACAAGAAGCGTACGTGTTTCAGAGCCTCTCACAGAGACTGTGCGAAAGTACTTCCCTGAGACATGGATCTGGGACTTGGTGGTAGTGGAGTAAGTCACTTCCTTTATCTATAAAATAAAGCAATATAGAGTCCTCACAGTTTTCAGTTCTTAGCTAATTTTTCAGTATCCAAGTATTTTTATGACACATTGCTGTTTTCAGGAATGTTGTGACATAAATACTTCTGCTATAAAGTCTCACTAATCTAACTATCTCAGAGATAAGAAATTTTGCATAGATTGAATTGTAAGATCTCTAGGAAGGGACATAAGAACTGAGTATATCCAAGCACCTCACAGATGAACACCTATAAGACATCCTATGTTGGCCAACAATCTTGAATTAAGCATAGAATCAGGCCAACTATATACAGTAGTAGTAGAATTAATAATTATAAACCTACCCACAGTGGAATAATATTTCAGAAGGGAAAATTTAAGAACAATCTCAAATTACACATTTAGTTTACAAAGGCCACTATTCTAAACTAACTTCCCAAATGCATTTGGGTAAGGACACCTCTTTCCTAAATTGAATACAAGATCATAGTCAAATCAATTAAATATTGCATTCCTAGGAATACTGACAAACTCCTCTGTATAAATACTCACCAGAGGATGGATACTCTTGAGACAATATTATGTTGTCTATAATAGATTACATTGTGATTATAAGTCTATAGGAGAATCTGATATAGACCAGAATTGAAAACAGTCACAGTTGGAAGAAAAGGACTTATATTTTCCCATTTCAAGCCTTGATTATAACTCTATGTTTATTCTAAGACCTCTCTTTTGGTATTTATACTGAGTGCATTCAAATCATGACAATAGAATCTTTTCTAGGGTTTCTCTTCTAGAAAGGATTCACTTAACTGCTTAACTGTCCTTCACCACATTGCTGTCCTCCCAGCTCCTCAGGTGTGGCTGAAGTTGGAGTAAGAGTCCCGGATACCATCACTGAGTGGAAGGCAGGGGCCCTCTGCCTGTCCAATGACACTGGGCTTGGTCTCTCTCCGACTGCCTCTCTCCAAGCCTTCCAGCCCTTCTTTGTGGAGCTCACAATGCCCTACTCTGTGATCCGCGGAGAGACCTTCACACTCAAGGCCACTGTCCTTAACTACCTTCCCAAATGCATCTGGGTAAGGACCTTTCTTTCCTAAACTGAAAACAAGGTTAAGAGTCAAATAAACTAAAAATTGCATTTCTAGGAATATCGACAAACTCCTGTGTATAACATATGCTCACTGGAGGAAGAACACTGTCAGAGATATTCACATAAAGTACAGTCGCTGGTATCCAACTGCCAAATTGCAACTTCACACAAGTTTCCGACCCTTATCATAAGCCCTTTGGGTTAGGAAGTTTGGGTAGTGTGAAGATTTCTGACATGGTGAACAAAAACCAATATGCTTCATTCTCATGTCTTAGATCTGAGGTTTCAACCTCTACATTCCATGTTTGACTTTTCATATAGCATTGATTAAACCTTATTTTAAAAGTTACCTGTGAGCATCTTCCCTCCACTGAAAACCGTAATGTTAATGTATCTTGTGTGTAGACCTTAAATGTTTATGTATCTTGTGTGTAGACAAGCTCTCCCTCTGCTGGGAAAGGGAGGGAATGCAAAAGATGCAACATGATCCACAGGCAATCATAATTCCTTTTTCTCACCTCCGGTCCCACCACGTGAAAGAGCAGAGTATCCCCAGATACTAAGATTTAGATGTCGGATCACCAATAAGGTATTCAGTCTTCATTTACATCATCTTCAGTGTTAGGCGATCTGGAATCTAACTATCCCCCAATACACCCTACTTCAAACCATTCTCCCTTTGGTCCTTTTCTCCCTCAGACCTTTCTGTCTCTCTGTCTCATTTGCGGTTTCAGGTCAGTGTGCAGCTAAAAGACTCTCCTGACTTCCTGGATGTTTCAGGAAAGAAGGAGCCGGAGTCTCACTGCGTCTGCGCAGATGGCCGGCAAACTGTGTCCTGGGCAGTGAAGCCTAAGTCATTAGGTGAGGGACGGTCTCCCACAGACAATGCTCTACTCAAGGACCGCATGCATCAGTGGGAGCCTTACGTCCAGTGCTACTTCTCTCAGCGAAAGACCCCTCAGATGGTGGGATCCTTTTTGTTTTTTATTCTATCAGGATATCAGGAAAAGTATCCCCACTTCCCTCACCTCCATCTCTGCCTTGGATTCTCAGTATCATTAGCTTCTAGTTTATGCTATTTGCATTCCTGCTCCAAAAAAGTTACAAAGCATTGAACATTTACAGATTGTGAGGTTTAGAGGTATGGAGGAAGGAGGAGATGACACTCATCTCTCCTGGCCCTTTTTTCAGGAAATGTGAATTTCACCGTGAGTGCAGAGGCACTAGAGTCTCAGGAGTTATGTGGGACTGAAGCAGCTGTGGTCCCTGAATTTGGAAAGAAAGACACAATCATTAAGCCCCTGCTGGTCGAAGTAAGTAAGCCTACCTATTTGACAGGTCACAGTGAGTCAGGAGAACAATGGTGAATCTGGTTGAGGTTCCAAGTTTTAGGTAAGAAAGGCTAACTAATATATGATCACAAGATATTTCACAATAATATTATTCTCTGTCTATCTCTGTCTCGATTTATTTTCATAATTTTCCCCCCACTTTCTCATCTACCACCCTGTCTCCTCCACTTCACTTATACTTGTAGAATTTGTTTATATAATACATTTGGAAATCAGTTCCAGTTCTTCTCTTCACTATCAAGAAATCTGTGGTTCCCCTATCAGTACACATGTCCTGAAAGCCAGTTCATTCTCACCTCTAACTTTTTTTTCCTTCTCCCTATAGCCTGAAGGACTAGAGAAGGAAGTAACATTCAACTCCCTGCTTTGTCCATCAGGTAAGAGTGGCCATCATAATTAAAAATAACATTGACTAAAATTTGTATAATATCTAAAGTTCAAAGAATCTTATATATTATTCCTACACTTTTCCTGTGAGGTAAATTAAGACCTGAAGGACCATTAACCTATTTGACAAATGAAGAAACAGTTTCTTAGAGAGGCCAGGTAATTTGATGAGAATCCCTAGCCCGTGCATTCTGATTCTTTATCTATTTACGGCACCTGTGCAAAAAAACACCCAAAATGTCTTTCTGACAAATACAGGATGTGGTTATAGGTAGAAAGTGGGTAGAATCATGATGAATATTGCCAAAGGGGATATTTCCTTGAATATTTAGTAATACAACATGGGTAGCTGAATTCAGAACACCCCAGTGTCTTACAGAGCCAACAGCATCTGATAATGAAGAGCATGCGATTTCTGGAAGAGAGGGTTGTCATAGCCTGTACCCCATGCCTACTGCCCTGCCAATCATTAGAAAGAAATTAAAGCAGCATTCATGAAAAGGAAATAACTCTATCTTGGTGGAGAATTTTCTAGTCTAAACAAAAACAGAGTGTAGAAATACATTAAGAAATTGATCTCAGTGTGTTCTCACCTCAATGTCAAATTAACATCACGTGTTCTTTGCCTACCTACTAATTTCTGTTTACTATGTTTTTCATTTTGTATTGCTTAAAATATTTAGACTTAAAATATTTAAAATATGTTCTAAAAACATAACTGCCTTGTTGTTTTGGCTTTATTTCTATATTTAAGTGAATTTGGTGCTGCCAACAACAATCGCGATTTCTCTATTTCTGAGTTCTTAATTTTGATTTATTTCTTATACATGCCAGGTTAATCATCAGTAGTTTTATTAAAATTAATTATGATTACCGATGTAATACAAAAGTACATTATCCTTCAAAAAAACAAAACAGAACTTATTAAAGGCTAATATCACTCCTTTGCAATCTTCTTCAATACTTTAATGATCATTCTGCTTGCTTTTTAGCCATTCCTACACTGGTTTTTCTACTATGTGCCAGAATAAATAATAAATAACATATATAAATATGCATAAAATGCCTCCTTATGGACATATGCAGGTATATCTAAGGTAAAGCCCAATATATGAAATTCCTGATCAAGAGGCAATATGCATATTCTTAGTTTTAATAGAACTAAAAAGCCCCCTCTTCATTACCTAAATGGGTTTATATTTCCCTGCATGCTCATCATCTTTTACCATGAAAAAAATATACTGTTGTTGTTTTAATTCATATTTTTCTAATCACAAGTGAAAGTGAGCTTATTTTTTCTTTTTTATGAATTGCCTCCACTTCCTTTAATCATTCATGTTGGTATAGTTTGTCTTTTTTCTGATTTAATTGTATGATCTTTTTATCTGTTGAATAAGTTACAAATATTTTCTTGGCAATTTGTCTTTCAACTTTGCTTATGGTATCTGTTTTACAAAAGTTTTTTGGGACAAGGTAAAGGTGTTTTCACATACAAATAATACATACATGATTAACATAACTAGGTATGTACTTAATATTTAAGTAAATATAAAATTCAATACAGGCAGGATTGAATTTAAATTTAATTACATAACTGTATGTAATTAAATAATAACACAGTCATAATTCACATATGTAACTTGATGAGTTTGGAAATAAGTATACATCTGTGAACCTGCCACTACAATCTACACCATAAACCTATCTATCACTTCCAAAAGTCTACTCCTACTCTATTATATTTTTGTTATATTGTAAGAACACACTTTAAGATCTGTCCTACCTATTAACAAATGTTTATGTATACAACACACGCATTGTTAACTGTAGGCACTATGCTTTATAGCAGATCTCTAGAACTCTTCACCTTGCATAACTGAAACTTTGTGTCCTTTGACAAAATTTTAACATTAATTCCATGAGGAAGAGATGCATTATGAAGATAAGTACATTTCTCTTTATCTTCATGTTCTTCACCAATATTAAAATGGCAGTAAGCATATGCTTATCAACTGCAATTATTTTCTTTTCAATGAGTCAAATACTGTTGATTTTTCACATGCTTCCCATGTCTAGGGCTTCCATACAAATACTATATTCATACCTGGTGAAATTTGATCGACGTATGGATAGAGCATCATTGTAGGATTCAGGAATTTGGGGGAGATTTTCCCTTTGTTCATCTACATGTACAAAGGGATTTTTTTTCCATATAACTGTGGAGTAAGGAGGTTAGGGATGGTTACTAAATAGATAATCTTGTGATAAACATCCTGTGTTGGCCATAGAATGACTTCAGTGGAATCACAGTATCATGGCACTTGTCAATGTGTAGCCTTCTTTTTGAATGCATTCTTCTTACAGGGGGAAAAGATGATTGAAAAAGGAGTTCTGGAAATCTCAGCAACCTGTTTGTACATGTTTAAGATATAAAGCACTGGAATATTACAAAGAAACAACTTTTCAACGGAAGTTTAGGTGTAAGGCATCTGGCTTCTGGGTCTTGGAGCCTCTCAGGAAGATATACAGCAGAAACGATTTCCATTATGTCTTTCTCTAGGTGCTGAGGTGTCTGAACAATTATCTCTGAAGCTGCCACCAAATGTGGTAGAAGATTCTGCCCGAGCCTCCTTCTCAGTGTTGGGTGAGTCTCCAGACCTAGGGGACTATTTTACTCTATTGACAGTTTCTATTATACTCTTTTCCATAAACACCTACTCAAAACCAAAGCCATAATTTTAACTTTATCCTCTCCTTCTTTGGGCTTGTTTATTGCTTCCAGTCATACTCCTGACCTTGGAAGATTCACTTTTCATAAAAATCCTCATTTCTTTACCTCACCCAGTTATTCATTTTTTTATTAATGATTCTGATAGGTTATAATCTGTAAGTTTTATGACTTTCCATCACTCTCATTCCATAGGAGATATATTGGGCTCTGCCATGCAAAACACACAGAATCTCCTCCAGATGCCCTATGGCTGCGGAGAACAGAACATGGTCCTCTTCGCTCCTAACATCTATGTTCTGCGTTATCTAAATGAAACCGAGCAACTGACCCCAGAGATCAAGTCCAAGGCCATTGGCTACCTCAACACTGGTGAGTGACCAAGTGAGTGAGAACTTCACAGTGTTATTTAACAACAGACTGGATTTCCCAAGAAGCTTGAGTTTCTTACCAATTCTAGGATACCTTAGTTTACCATACTATGATAGTGACTAGGTGATGGTTAATTTCATGGTAATGATCCAGTGTCCAACCTCCAACAGAGTGTTTAGGACTCAGAACCTGCTTAACATAGGACAGTAAAATTTAGGAAATATCACAAGGCGTTTTTATAATTTCTCTGGCTGCAGCATGTACAGTCATTTATATTGTTTCATTACCTTCCATTCCAGGTTACCAGACAGAGCTGAATTACAAGCATGCAGATGGCTCCTATAGCACCTTTGGGGAGAGATATGGCAGGAGTGAGGGCAATACCTGGTAAGGGAAAGGCAGTTTTTTGAGCTATTTTTGTGCCAGCACTTTTACATATAATCACAATTGCATCCACAGTTACTCTATCAGATGTGTGTTATTAAACCCATAGATGCATATGCTGGATAAATACACCAAGACTAGCAAGGTAACAAGTGAAAAAGCTGAGATACAAATACATTCAAAGAAATGAGGACACAGTGATATGAAACATTGTTTTAAAACCCCTATGGCAAAGCAATGTTAGAAATTACCATCTATAAGATCTGTACATGAAAATATTGTGCCATCTACAGAAGGAAATCACTAAAGAGAAGACAGATTTAAAGCCTGATTCAGAGAAGTAACATTAGAAGTACTTAGGTTCTCTGTAGCAAGGAGAAAATGAGTCAGCAAGGAAATACTAGTCTAGCAGATTAACCAAGGAGATGCTAGTCTAGCAGATTAACTGAGCTGCTGAAGGAGGTGGGAACTCTGCACAAGAACACTTGTTAGATGACTCACATCAATGTAAGAAGCATCATCTGAAGCGTGTTGCTGTGACATGGTTACAAAACCACTGTAACAACACAAATATCACTTCCTCCCACCCCAGGCTCACGGCCTTCGTGCTCAAGACTTTTGCCCAGGCTCGAGCCTACATCTTCATTGACGAAGCACACATTACCCAAGCCCTCACCTGGCTCTCCCGAAAGCAGAAGGACAATGGCTGTTTCAGGAGCTCTGGGTCACTGCTCAACAATGCCATTAAGGTGCGGTGTTCTTGGGGCTGGTTTTGATGTGTCCATTCTGATGTGTACAAGGATGAGGAAAGGGGGTGATAGCATAGGAATGTCTTAGGACAGATAGCAGAGGAAAAGAAAACCTGGGGGTCACCAAGAACGAGGGCATGGGATTCAGGTCGCCTGTGACACTTTGAACTATGAATATGGGGATAAATATGGGGAAGATTCAATTCTATGACACAGGAGAATACAAAGATCCAATTAAGAGTATTCTCACAAGTGAAGTTACTCAAGTCTCTCACTCTGCTTTCTAGGGTGGAGTGGAAGATGAAGTGACCCTTTCTGCCTATGTCACCATCGCCCTTCTGGAGATTCCTCTCCCTGCCACTGTAGGTACCACCTCATGCCCCTGCGGAAGCCGGGTTCTGGATGCTGAACTGTCACCCTACTAAAAGCCAAGTGTCAGCCTTCCTTCTCTGCAAAGACAGTCCTTCCCAGATCAGTACGGAATTGGTCAAGCCATTTAGAAAGGTTTACACTTTCCCAGTGATGCCCTAGGCTATTTCTCCCCAACACCCCCACCATACACACACACTGAATTCTAAAGATATGGCCTATATGCCTGCCTGATGAATGGTATAATAACAGATAAAAAATACTATTACCTCTATCCATAACAATGAGGATAAATGGACAAACACATTTGCGAACTTCACTTCCTGTGCTGCAGTCTAGGCACTGACCTGGGGATGCTCACATCCCTGCTCACATGCCTTGGACCCCTTGGCCCTCTCCCTTCACAGCACCCTGTTGTCCGCAATGCCCTGTTCTGCCTGGAATCTGCCTGGAAGTCAGCAAAGGAGGGACCCCATGGCAGCCATGTCTACACCAAGGCACTGCTGGCCTATGCCTTTGCACTGGCAGGAAACCAGGACAAGAGGAGAGATGTGCTCACGTCACTTAATCAGGAAGCTGTGCACGAAGGTGAGCTTCCTCCCATCCTGCATTCTCTGTATCCACAACTGCATTGCAAACATGCTCTAGGCCTCCTCCTGGGATCCCTTTCTCCTCTCTTTTCTAACTATATCATTACAAAATCTAAGAAATCATAACAAGCCACACATCCAGAAATAAGAGGCAGTATATTGAAGTAGTGAGAAACTTAGCCTCTTGAGACTTGTTACAAAACATATTATATATGTGACCTTGGGCAAGTCACTTAACCTGTCTAGGTTTTAATTCCTTCATCGGTAACATGGAGATAATAATAGTATTTACCTCATAGGGTTGTTGTCAGTATTAAATGAGTTAATACAGATAAGTCACTTTAATAGAGTATATATGGCACATAGTAAGTGCTATTAAACTATTAGCTATTATGATTAAGACATCAGTTCTTAATACATACTTAACCCTTATGTGATACATCTTATCATCTTCAATATAAGGATTGAGAGAAGTAACCACATGAATAAATTCTGGTATTTTATGCTCATTTCACAAGACTAATAATGTTGACAAATCCATTCAATTTACACAATGCTTCTATGTATACAATGGTCTAAATGAGGGGTTGAAGAGAGAGAAAATAAAATGTAAATGATAGTAAGATATCCAATAAAGCAGATTCTACCTTTCTCCCCTGACAGTGCCATTAATTTCTTGTTCTTAAAATATACTGGGAAATATTTCAGATATGCATAAGGAATAATTAGCAAACACCTTTTTGGCCTCCTCCCAGCTTAAGAAATAAAATAATACCAATGTAGGAAAAATTCCCTATAGAGCACTGCCAGACCCAAAGACAATCATTATCCTGAATTTGTCATTGCAATTTCCATGAATTTCTTTATAATTTTGCTGCATATGTATCCCTAAATAGTATTCAGAGTTTTTACATTTTTCATCTTTAGATAAACAGTATCATACTTTTGAGGATTCCTGCATCTTGTTTTCCTTCCTGTTTACTTGCTTTTTGTGTTTTAAGTTCCACATTGTGCTAATAGGAATCCCCTATATGGTGCCTGTAGCTCTAATTCTTTCATTTTCATTACTTCATAATATATTACAATGTATGAATAGGTCTCAACTGATATAGAGAGCCTTTCTGTATGGATCTTTTCTTGTCTGTTACTTGTTCTTGCAAACCATGCTTCAGTGAATACTCAGACACATGTCTCCTTATGCAAGTGTATGAGTTCCTCTAAGTTACAGCTGGAGAAGTGTAATTGCTGACTAGTAGCCTAAGCATATCTTCCACTTTGCTAGATATTACTCTCCATATTATTCTCCAAAGAATAGTTTACTTCCTACAGCAGTGTAAGTCAATTCCCATTATTTCACACCCTTTCAGTATTCTAAAGATTACCGTTTTGTTTTGTTTTTTCTGATTTAACGAGTGCAAACTCCATTATCTAATGTGATCTGGTCATCATCACAAGGACAGGCTTTACAGAATATATAACAAACCCCATGTAAGGTCTGGATAGCATCAAAAATAGGAAATTACCACAACAATTACCAGTGGAGACCTTGCTCTACTATTTCTCTCTCCCACCAACACCCAAATGCAGCAACCATTTGAAAACTTAGACAGCTATGGGCTTCTGGCCCCAGCAACGTTATGTGTCTTCACGTGGCTGAAACAAATGACATTCAGATTTATATAGAAGGAAAAGCATTGAGACAAGGTTCAAGAGACAATAAATGGATGCAGCCTCACTTCAGCACTGGCTTGGGTATTTTCACCTTAAATATGAATATGTGCTCCCTTAGTAATCTCCTTTTCTTATCCACAGACAATTCTGTCCACTGGACACGACCTCAGAAACCTGAGACACCAGAGGGGCATTTATACCCACCGCAGGCTCCCTCCGCTGAGGTGGAGATGACGTCCTACGTGCTCCTCACTTATCTCACGGCCCAGCCTGCCCCGACCCCAGAGGACCTGACCTCTGGAACGCACACTGTGACGTGGATCACAAAGCAACAGAATTCCCATGGAGGCTTCTCCTCCACCCAGGTCAGGGGTTTGCCAGAACCCTTTACTTCACCTTCAGGTAGCAAAGCGTTGAACAAGATAGAAATGCACACAAGAAGGAAAAGTGAAGATAAGAATAACTTGAAATAAGGAAAATATTATTAGTATTCAGGAACAGTGAGAAATAAGGGAAAATAAAAGTCAAAGAAGGCTAAAAAGAAAATGCCTAGAGTTCTGGCACCCCTTCATTATCACAGTCTCCTCTTTTCAGTAACAACTCTTCTTCTCTAGAGAAACACTGGGGCACTAGGACCCTATACTCAGTGGTCATAGCAGAATGAATAAAATCTACCATTCTTTTAGAAATTTGAAGAGTCCCTTTCAAACTATACCCAGGAAGCTACTCAAAAGCCACTCTTTCTCCTCGCAAACCCTCCAATCTTAGGTCTCCCTTAACTTGCTTCTTTTAAAACCGACACATTTCATTCCTCCACTACCCACCTCTTAATACGCAGTTGTTCATCAAGAGCAGGAAGAACTTCTTTTTTCAGCCAAAGAGTTACCATTGCTAACTATGTCATCTTGTATCATTAAAAACTCATCAATACATACATAGCAGGAAGTTTCATCTTCAGAGAATTTAGAGGTCAGCATATAAACCCTAAGAGAGAGAAATAACATGCCAAAATGATGTGCCAATCTTTACCATTGTATTTCATCTCTTATTTTTCCATATGAATGGAAAAAGACTGAATAATTTTGTCAGTCCTTAGAAATCTATTATTTCAGTAATGCCATCCAGGGTCAGTGTCTATGAGAACTGAAAATATGACATACCAGGGGGAGTCCAAACTCCCAATTTAAAAAAAAAGGAGAGAAGAAAATTCCAACAAATCCAGGAGGTGATTATAATTGTTCATCTTTTATTTCCTGTGGAGAAACTGAAGCATGAGCCTGATCGTGACTGCAGAGGGCCCTGGGTTCTCTCGCGGCACTGACCTCAGCAGCAGAGTAGAGTTTAAACTGGGGTGAGAACCAGCCTGAACTTCGGTTGGGTGGTGGCAGATACAACCATAGTTGTCCAGTGAGACCTCTTAGGCAAATAGCCACTGCCGAGAGATGATTTCTATTCACATTCCAGATCCCACTTACATTGATAAAGAGAAAAGGATCAGTTTTCTGAAAAATAAACTCCTAGGGCATATATCCAAGGCAGATAAGGTGGATGTTATGGTTCTGTCATCGGTCTAAGGATTATAATCAATCTTGAAATTGGAACTAACACGTAAGTAGTGGGGGGGACAAGAAACGCAATCAAAGCCCTTTTTGTGGCAGTACTCGTGGGCCTTTAGGTCCCCACAGGGTCACCATTCCCATCTGTGTCTTCCAGGACACGGTGGTGGCTCTAGATGCTTTGTCCAAATACGGAGCAGCCACTTTCACCAGGACCAGGAAGCCCACACAGGTGACCATCCAATCATCAGGGACATTTTCCCAAAAATTCCAAGTGGACCACAGCAACCGCCTGCTGCTACAGTGGGTCCCACTGCCAAAGGTGCCGGGAGACTACAGCATGGCGGCTACAGGAGAAGGGTGTGTCTACCTGCAGGTGAGGCTCCTGGGGCCGATGGGACAGATGGGCCGCATAACCTTTTGTACCAAAAAGTCCTAACTCAGCAAATGATGGGGCAAATCAGAGAGAGAGCTGAGGAAGCCAGGAGAAATCCTGGGGAAGAGAGCAACACAGATGTCTTTGATGTTCCACAGACATCCTTGAAATACAATATTCTGCCGAAAAAGGAAGAGTTCCCATTTGCTTTGGAGGTGTGGACTCTGCCTCAAACTTGTGATGGACCCAAGGCCCACACCAGCTTCCAGATCTCACTGAATGTCAGGTAAGACCTCTGACCGTATCACCTGATCCTGGGCACAACAGTCTTCTCACTGGAGCTGCTCATTAAGCTGAGCAGTATGACAATGAATGTTTACACTACCCTTACTGAAAAAGCAACGTGTCCTGTTGTTGATATAGGATTTCTCAGCGATGGGGTTTACATCGTACATCCCCTGGCTCCAGGACCTGTTTTTGTCCAACTTTATTATTTAAAGGTTATTAATTCTCCTCAATAGTAACTAAATAGCATTACTCCTTACTGCTGATCTGAATTCTTCATTTAATTCCAATATTATTGATTCATCCAGTTTTTACTCTATTGTAATGAAATTCTATATTTTACTTGCTCTATCCAAGACAGAAACGAAGGATTTTTGTCAAGTGTGAATAGAAGGAAGTACTGACTCTCTCATTAGAATTCTTAGTGGCAATAAATAAATCTCACTATATACAAAATAATCAATTTGGGGGGAAATACATATATATGCAGCAATATTCAAAGAGCTACAGGGCTTTAAAAAAATGTGTCCACAAGAATATTTTCATCTGGTTGGGGACACTAATCAGGAAAAAAGTTAAAATATATGCAACAAATAACAGGCAGAGATTAGAGGGCTCAAGCCCAGCTATGCCTCACTTCTAGAGCTTTCTTAAAACACAGATCCCGAGAATCTACACACATGAGATGCTGATTCAGTGGGTCGAGGGTAGGACCTCATCTCTGGCTTTCACAGGCTCCCTGAAGATTCTAATGCACAGCTCATTTTGCAAACCACTTTGGTAGGATATTTAGGGAGACTTCCGAGTACCTTTCAGGGCTCTTGAGTGCTTCTTATGTACATAGAAAAAAAGAATATTTAATAACACAGAAAACCCTAATTTCTTTCTTCCCTGGACCTTCAGTTATACTGGGACACGTCCTGCCTCCAACATGGTGATTGCTGACGTGAAGATGGTGTCTGGCTTCATTCCCCTGAAGCCAACAGTGAAACTGGTAGGTTTATTTTAAACCCAGGAGGTCCTGTTTATTTAATGTTTTATGTATCTCCAGAACTAAGACTATATTAATATTCAAATACTATTAAATCAACCTCTATCAAAGACATACTTTCTCCAAACTCAGGAATATAATTTAGCATATTTCTATGGAGGCTTTGATGTTATTTTTTTTCCTCATTAAACTTTGTTTTAATGGGTCTCAAAATTCAGTGGCAGATTTTTTGTCAAGTTGTTTCTATTAAAAAGTACTGATTATAAAAACTAATAACTTAAAAGTGCCACACACACACAAAAAAACGAATGATCCACAAAACATTCTCTTTTCCTTTGGAAGGTTTTACGACGCATTGTTATCATTGACCAGTATTTTACTATTGGACTTAATTGGTCAATTGAGACAAACAGTTCTGAGGCCATTCTTCTACCACTGATTAAGACTGGAGTGGTAGATAGGTGTTAGGGATGATCTTTATTCTGCCGTCTGAGCTTCCTGGGCAGAACTGGTGACCTTACCAGCCCCAGCAACCCTCTTGTCTGCTGATGGACACGCACTGCAACCATCTGTGTCATGTGACAAACAGCAGTCTTCTAGGAGCCACACCTCCTAGGAAAATGATGTCAGCAGGTTCCTGCTTTCCTGGAGCTTGGAATCTTAAGGAGATAAAGTGTATGTACATGAACCAGCAGGAAAAACACATGAAAATGACAGATTAACATGAACTTTAAGTATTGTCAAATTTCAGAGAAAAAATGAGATTGCTATAAATAAGAGTAGGCAAAAAAAGTGAAAAGAACAAACAAAAATACCTCCTTCAGGAAGGAACAGAATGAGAATTGAACCTTGAAATATGGGTAATTCCCAAATTTAGGATAATTAGTTCCCTTTTCTTCAGATAAATCAACTTTACACAGAGGTCATGTGTCATATTAAATATTAATATGATTACATATAGTTATTTAATGTAATATACATTAATATAAATATTAAAATATTAAATCCTGCATCCCAATTATCTTTAATTTTTAATTTTACCACGTTATCTTTACTTACAAAAATCACTTGAAGAAATTTTACCTTCAGGCTTAATTTGGTAATAAAAATTCTTTTCTCTGGCTTCCCCAGGGGTTTCATCTGTGTATTAACATTTGTGATACCTTAATTTTCCTCAGCTTGAAACAGCAAAGCATGTAAACCGAACAGAAGTCAGCAACAACCATGTTTTGATTTACCTGGATAAGGTGAGGTCTGCTACTCTAGTTGCCAAAAATAATAGATAATAATCCCTTTGAGGTAGCTATCTGGCAAGTGACTGAAAGCATTTTGGAGACATCAATTCCATGCTAAAAATTTGAGAATTTTCATATTCATTCCAGTAAAGTTCTCCTTTTCTTCTTTATTTATTATTTCATCAGTAACTATGAGAAGAAATGGCTTGTTATAACATTGGGAAATGAATATTTCTGGGACTCTGTAAGCAAGAAATTTTCCACGAAATGTGTTTATTATATCCACAAGTTATTTTGGAGATATTAATAAGGAAGTAACCCCTAGGGTTAGTCAATTATTAGATCATCATATCAACATTTAAAAGGGGAAAAAACTGTCAGTATCAGCAAGGACTTAAACAATAAAATAATAAGGTCAGTCCACAAATAAACCTATCTCATTTAATAGTTGTGCATCATTGCACAGTTTACATATTAATGGATATTATAGTTAACAAATTTTATATAACTTAAGGCTGCAATGATCAACCTTTTATTTCTCCTTTGAGTCAACACAAGTACTTGTACAAAATAGAGAAGTGAATCTGTACCAAATCTCTGGATATTTAAAAATAAACATAGGTATTCACCTCCTATGGATTGATCCATGTAATAGCATTGGTGGCAGTTCATGAATTGTTTTAGTGATTTAAGAAATAATTTGGGAAAGTTTTCACCCACTCTGGGAGTTTTCTGCACAATTTAAGGACCCTGGTAGTTGATAAGTTTTCTTCCCCCAAACAGATGAATACTTAAAGTCATTTAAAGAAGAGAGAGAGGAAAGCTGCCCTGGAAGGTCATTTAATTCCCTTTTGCTTTCTAGGTGACAAGCCAGACACTGAGTTTGTCCTTCAAGGTTCTGCAAGATATTGCAGTAACAGACCTGAAACCAGCCATAGTCAAAGTCTATGATTACTATGAGACAGGTGAGTGTGAGCACCTTGCACATAGAAATTAAATTCCTGATTGCAGAAATTCAGATTTTAGAAATATGTTGGGGCAGTTTATTACACTAACAGCTCTCATCATTTTGTCCCCACTAAGCTTGTTCCCCTCTTGGTTCTATACACACATTATAGAAATTACCTACAGTATAACATATCCACTGCTGACACAAAAAGCACAAGTAGGATATGCAGCTCCCTCTTCTTCAGATAGGTCAACTATATATAGGACAGGAGTTCAGGATAAAAGGAAACATACTATATTTGAAAAGTTAACAATATAAGGTGGCAAGCAATGCATCAAATGATGCTAAGGTTTCTGATGCGATTCTTCCCATAATAAAGATATTGCACTGACCTGTATCCCTTAGATGTTCACTTTCCCTCTCACTTCACCTGATTTTGTTTTATTTATTCAGATGAGTTTGCAATTGCTGAGTACAATGCTCCTTGCAGCAAAGGTAAGCAATTCACACTCCTTTCAAATGCAGTCAGAACTCCTTCGGCTTGTGCCTCAAAGCTCCTCTATAAAATTCAAGCTAAAATGTTTTTTCATAGACATGGTATTTCTCACAGTACAACTGTTATAGAAAAATGTACCTATTGGAATAGGGCCACTGATGGTCAAACCTCAGACAATTCCTAGGATTGCTTATTGGATAACTATAAGTAACGAATCTCATTTCACACTACATCGATTGGGTTTCCTTGGGCACTATACCACCCAGACCTAAGGGAAGGAATAGTCACTGCTCAGAAAACCCAAGTCTATCTTTATTTTCTATTCTTTCCACTATAACAGATCTTGGAAATGCTTGAAAACCACGTCAATGAAAACTGCTTAGCTGGAATCCCTGTTTCACAGACTTGGTTGGTTCTCTGTGGAAGAAAAGGGTTTTGAGCTCTAAAGACTTGATGAATAAACCTTTTTTTCTGGTCAGTCTCAATCACTGCTTCCTCATTCTTTCAATAAACACTTACTCCATTTCCATATGACTCCCGACAGAATCCTGAGATAGAAATGTGCAGCCATCAAGGGCTGAGGGACTTCGGAAAATGTAAACAGTCACAATGATGTTGGCTTCAGTAAATTTCATGTAGAGGCTGCAGGGTAAAGAAGACAGTACTGGATTAGGAACTAAGAGAGTGTAAAGTGTCTTTGGTTGGGGGAATACCCTAAGAAAAGGCCAAAGAGTGGACTTTATGAGAAAATAAAAGACTGACTTGGCCGGAAAATATCTTCCACATCAAAGAGAAATAATGTATCCACATATCCATGTATGAAGTTGGACAGGTTACATTGGGAGACAGCATAATTAATTGGGACTTATGTGTCTTCAGTTAGAACCAAATCTACCATTGACATGAAAGATCAGTCTGTGAACTGGGGGTCTCAGTTTCACTAAAGGATGCAGATTGAAATTTTTAAAGGGTTGGTACATGGAGAAGCAAGCTTTCTTAAAAGAAAGAATATACAGAACTCAAAGCCCAAACAGGATATATTGGAACATCTTTTTTCTGGAACTTGGAGCCAAGATCAAAGGATAGAAATAAACTCAAGGAGTATTCAGAGGTAGGAATCAGCTCCCACAACATTTAGTATCTAAATTTTCTTTGTGGTAAGTATCAAAATCATTTATTATATAGCTAGAGGAGCAGAAGCTTCAGGAGTTAACAGAGATCTCTGAGGTTGTCTTAGGAGTCCTAGTCTTCATTTGGTTTAGTTTAACAGAAGCCTGGATGGTAAAGTTAAGAACTCTACAGGACTTCTTTGAAGTTCAAGCATCTTAAGCTCTGTCTCCAGGCTGGGCAAAGATAAAAGATGAAAACTATCACTTTTGTGCCAGGTTCTGCTCTCAGCTCCTCACAGGTATTAATGTATCAACCCTATGATACAGGTATTATTGTAACAAGTGAGGAAACCGAGGCACAGCAATGTAAGGCCCACAGTCCCTCAGCAAGTAAACGGCAGAGCCAGAATTCAATACCAAGAATCTGGCTTCACAATCCACACTTAATATTTTCAAACCATGCTGTCTCTCCAACCTACTTTAGATAAGTCCAGGAGAAAATGTTTCAGCTAAATAAACTAAATAAACATTACAATTAAACATCAAACCAGAGCGTGGAACATAAAAGAAATTAGGAGTATGGCTAAAGGAAACAAGCCTACAGGATTCTAATTTTATCCCTTAGTTCCCCTCCCTTTCTCTCTGTTCATTTGGTATCCTGACCTCAAATGTATTTGAAGGGTATACTTGTTACAAATAATTAGTTGTATCTCCTGGACCAAAAAAATTCATTCCCAAAACATACTGACTACCTACTATGTGTCAGACACTGTATTTAATGCTATGATACAAAATTGAACAGTGGGGTTCCTCCCTTAATGAAACTCACTGCAGAGTAAAAGAAAGACACATATTTGTATCACTATAATACTACGACACAGGTACTACAAACTCTTCATACCAGGATGGACTGGAAATTCCATGGCCGCCTCAGGTTTTGAAATACCACATCCAAATTCTGAGATGACCCTGAGCTAGGGGCCTAATTATAACTGAAAATAGTTTCGCCAACAGTCTGATAGCATGGGAATTTTGAAATTAAAATTGGGTAGAATTTTATTTATTTTATTATTTTTTTTATTGAAGGGTAGTTGACACACAGTATTACATTAGTTTCAGGTATACAACACAGTGATTTAACATTTATATACATGATAATTCTAGGTACCAGCTATCACCATACCAAGTTGTTACAATATTTTGACTATATTCCTTATGCTATACATTACATCCCGGTTACTTATTTATTTTACAATTGGAAGTGTGTACTTTTTTTTTTTGTGAGGGCATCTCTCATATTTATTGATCAAATGGTTGTTAACCACAATAAAATTCTGTATAGGGGGGTCAATGCTCAATGCACAATCATTAATCCACCCCAAGCCTAATTTTCATCAGTCTCCAATCTTCTGAAGCATAACGAACAGGTTCTTACATGGTGAATGAATTCTTACATAGTGAATAAGTTACATGGTGAACATTACAAGGGCAGTCAGCACAGAGGCTTTTGGTTTTGATCATGCATTATGAACTATAAACAGTTCAAATATTAATATTCATTTGATTTTTATACTTGATTTATATGTGGATACCACATTTCTCTCTTTATTATTATTTTTAATAAAATGCTGAAGTGGTAGGTAGATACAAGATAAAGGTAGAAAACATAGTTCAATGTTGTAAGAGAGCAAATGTAGATGATCAGGTGTGTGCCTGTAGACTATGTGTTAATCCAAGCTAGACAAGGGCAATAAAACATCCACGTATGCAGAAGATTTCTCTCAGAACGGGGGGGCAAGTTCTAAGCCTCACCTCTGTTGATCCCCATTTTCTCACCTGATGGCCCCCCTGCGACTGTGCCTGTCTTAGGTTGTTCCTCCCTTGAGGAATCTTAAAATTGGGTAGAATTTTATAGAGCAATATGTCTTCTCCATATTTTGTGAATTAAGGTTTATTCTTTCTATGAAGGTATATAAGACATGAGAGAGGATCAGTTTATGTAGAGTTTTGTATTTTCATATTTTATTTTGAAATATAATAAGCTGCATTTTCTATATGTGCCTTGCCACCAAATTCATCTTTCCCTACATTGGGCCAGTTGGTCAGAGGCATCCATTTGCTCAGAAACACTTGGGTGGGTCTGACAGGAATTCAAAGAGAAAGAAAGAGAATACTTGAATCTACCACATAAAAGGATAACTTTTAAATTTATTTAGACCCCATTGATAAATCAAGACTTAATCCTGGCAGATTAGAGTGTAGCAATTCATACAGTAATTGAGAGGTGAGAATTCAGGATATGATATTAGTAAACACTTAAACAATAGTAAGATACATAGATGAAAACAGAATTATCAATTCAGAAATATTTCCAGGATGATATTGTTAAAAGAAAACAGTAGAGCACAGAACAGAGTGCATACTATGGACTCTTTTATGTAATAAAGGGTAGGGGAGGAAATAAAGTGCCTGTATTTTTTGCATTTACATAAACATAGCCTAGAAGGATGCACACCAGAGGAGGGAAAAAAGTAAAAAGCATTTACCTGTGTATTGGAACAAGGAAAAGTAAGTGGAAATTTTCAAGGATGACAAGGAGATCACTTAGGGAATACCACTTTCAATTATTTGACTATTGAACTATGTGAACATATGACTATTGTGAGAATTAAACTAAAAACCAATAAGCAGAACCTTAAGACTAAGAATATGGAATTCAGTACCTGCCAATTTGGATAAGGAGAAAGAATACTTTTTAAAGCACTGTTAAAGTTTCCTTACCTCATTATCCACATTTGGTCTGCAGGGAAAATGGAAGTTCCATAGCCAGGATCTTCACCTGACCCTAATATACTTGCCCACTGCCACATGCAGTGATGTAATAATTGGCCTACTGCACAGGCACATGCTTACACACTGTTGGCAATGAGCCATAATTGTCTGTGTTGCTATGTCAGAGCTCCACCCAGAGGCAGAGGCTGAGGGGATTTGTGGACTTGCTAGATGCAGACGTGATTCTAGTGCTCAACCTGCCTCCATGAGAATAAAGCTTGGTGTCAGACCTTTTACCCACAATTTTCCATTGTTGTTATTCGGTCTCACCTGAGCCAAAATGAACTTGCAGGGAGACTGAAACCCTCCAGCACTACAGGTCTTAAATTCCAAATACTCTTCATATATTGTTTTATGAAAAGCATTTCTTGCTTTTCCTTCCTTTTTCCCTCTTCTTTGATTTCTCCTCCTTTCCCCCAGAAGTTTACCTCTTTCTCCTCAGCCTTTGTCTACTTAAAAAGATAAGAAATTGGTTCTTTAAAAACAAATAAGTCATGTTTGCCCTGATCCATGAAATATTCCTACAAAGAAAATGTAACACTTTTATTCCAGGAGATGATAATTCACTTCTCTACATATTTTTAATAACAACAATAGTACTGATTGCCAACATACTAAGGCTTGGAGAGATTAAGACATTTTCCCAAGGTTTCACAGTCTTGTTATGATGTCTGTAATTTATTTTAAGTAATTTAGCATAGACAGTGTGATATTTTTAGGCATATTTAATCATAGAAGCTCGTGCTCTGGAATGTGGCCTGGGATCAGGATTTTTCAAAGCTGCTCAAGTGATTTTAATGCACAGCCAAGGTTGCAAACACTGCCCTAAGCTGGTTCTCAAGGTGGTCTCCAGACAAGCAGCAACACTGTCACCTGGGGCAACATGATAGAACCCCAACCCGGACCTATGGAGTCAGAAACTCCATTGGTAGAGCTCAGCAACCTGTTTTAATAAACCCTTCCAGGGACCTCATGTGACCAAGCTAAACTTCAGGGCAGAGAGTCAACAGCCCTCATTGCACACTAGAACCACCTGAGGTTTTTGGTTTGTTTTATTTCACTGATACAATGGTTCCATGCCCAGATATTAAGATTTTATTGTCCTGAGATAGGATCCAGGCAGTAGTAATTTTATTTAATTGATTCTACTATACAGATAAGGATGAGAGTCACTGCTTTGTGGACAGTGGTTCACCTAATCAATAATTCATGTTCCAGATAGGATAGCTTCTAATCTAGTAGTTCTAAATTTTACACATTAGGATCAGCTACAGAGCTTTTAAAAATATACTTATGCCAGGGCACCAACACAAGTGCCTGATTTAAGAGGCTTGGCGTGGGGAAGGTATATAGCTATCCCAAGCTTGCAGGTGAGAATTCCTTTTACTGGAAGTTGAAAACCACTGATCTAATCAGAGGCTGTGGTCCAGCCAGCTACCAGGAGTACTTCAGTTTTCTTTATATCCTATCAATAGAGGCTGTCTTGCCAATGGGTTTCAGCCCCAGACAAGTTCATTGTGGATTCAGTGAGACTGAGGAATGAC